ACAGGGAAATCAGCTTTACACTGGGCAGCAGCCGTCAACAATGTGGAGGCCACGTTGGCCCTGCTCAAAAATGGAGCCAACAAGGACATGCAGGATAGCAAGGTGAGCCCCAGCCCTTGACCCACCAGGCAGTCAGCCCTAAATATGGCAAAGAGCAGGGTGGCGTGGGTTAGTGGGGGCATTCATTTGCCTGCAGCCAAGTTAGGATTTGGACCTAACCGCCTCTAACAGTGGATTAGAGGAGAAAGCGTGTGGCAGTTGCTGTGTGACCTTGGGCAAATTGCTGAACATCCCTGAACCTCAGTGTCCTCATCTGTGAAGTGGGGAGGCAACAGTACCCACCTCGTTGTTGTCTCCTGAGGATTCACTGAAATAACGCATTTGCAAAATGCTTAGTAGATCCTCAATAAAAGGTAACTGTTACCATCATTGTTTTAAAAGCCTTGCAGGGTGAAATTACTCTCCTCATTTTATAAATGGGAAGAGTGAGGCCCAGAGGGGCACAGGGATGGATTCTGTCCTTATCTGACATTTTGATATTTCATCCATTACAGATTTTTTGGCCAACAAGTGTAATTTAAGAAAGGGTTGCATTAAAATATCATTTAGTTTGATGATTGGCTTTTTAAAAAAAAATTTTTTTTTTAACATTCATTTATTATTGAAAGACAGAGTCAGAGCGTGAGCAGGGGAGGGGCAGAGAGAGAGAGGGAGACAGGATCCGAAGCAGGCTCCAGGCTCTGAGCCGTCAGCACAGAGCCTGACGTGGTGCTTGAACTCAATAAACCTCGAGATCATGACCTGAGCTGAAGTCGGACGCTCAACCGACTGAGCCACCCAGGTGCCCCCGATGATTGGTTTTTGACGCCCCCTTAAGTTTTGTGCCTAAGGGTAGTGCCTCACTTTCCTCACCCTAGTCCTGGCCCTGGGGCATGACGCTTAGTAGGCACTGGACGGATGCGCTTTAAAGGAAAGAACTTGCCTAGTTTCCCCTCAGCAGAGCGGGGATCCCATCCAAGCTCTGCTGGGCAGGAGAGTGTGGCTTCTCAGCTGGTTTCCACCAGAGGCTAGAAGGCCGCCAGACCTTGGCCAGGAGTTAATCCGGGCTCTTGGTATGCTGATCTGTCGTGGGTTCTGTGCCTCACTCCCGCTCAGGAGGAAACTCCACTGTTTCTGGCCGCCCGGGAGGGCAGCTATGAGGCTGCCAAGCTGCTGCTGGACCACTTTGCCAACCGCGAGATCACAGACCACCTGGACAGGCTGCCGCGGGACGTGGCCCAGGAGCGGCTGCACCAGGACATCGTGCGCCTGCTGGACCAGCCCAGTGGGCCCCGGAGTCCTCCCGGCCCACACGGCCTGGGGCCCCTCCTCTGCCCACCGGGGGCCTTCCTCCCAGGCCTCAAGGTGGCACAGTCTGGGGGCAAGAAGAGCCGGAGGCCACCCGGGAAGGCGGGGCTGGGGCCGCAGGGCACCCGGGGGCGGGGCAAGAAGCTGACGCTGGCCTGCCCCGGTCCCCTGGCCGAGAGCTCGGTCACGCTGTCGCCCGTGGACTCGCTGGACTCCCCGAGGCCCTTCGGTGGGCCCCCCGCGTCCCCTGGCGGCTTCTCCCTCGAGGGGCC